TTTCTGAACTTGTTAATATCATTAAGTTAGCCATTTTCTTGGTTGTTTATGTTCTCTTATTTCTGTCTGTCAGATTTTAGTTTTTCTGGTGTAACATTCCTTCCACAACTTCTTGACAAGCTGGCCTGGAGTTCGTAAATTCTTTTATGTTTTGTTTATCTAAGAATATTTTTATTTTTTCTTCCCATATGAAGGATAATCGTGCTGGGTATAGCAGTCTTGATTGTGATTGTTTTTTACCTAACTCTTTGAATATACTTCCCCATTATTTCCTTGCCTGTATTGTTTCTGATGAGAGGTCTGATGTTACCCTGATGGGATAGCTTTCGTAAGTAACTTGATGTTTTTCTCTTGCCAATTTTTGTATCTTATCTTTGTGGTTTTTGTCCATCTGGCTATGATGTGTCTCAGAGAAGATCTTGGTTGATACTATTTAGGTTCCTTTGCATTTCTTGGGTCCTGATATTTGAATGCCTTTCAAGGTTTGAAGTTTTCTTCCAGGTAGGCATGGAATAGAGTATCAATACTCTTATTGTTTTCTTCACCTTCTGGGATACCAGTTATCTGGATGTTTGTGTACTTAATGGTATATAGTATTTCTCATGTCTTATCCTCATTTTCCTTGGTTATTTTCTGTCTTTTTGACAATTTTTTCTAGGTCAGAAGTTTTGTCTTCTACATCCATGATGTGATCTTCCTCCTGATCTAATCTGCTTTTAATACTTTCAAGGGAGGTTTTGATTTCCTATATTATAGTCTTCATCCCTTACAATTACATTTGATTCTTTTTTATGGTATCTATTCCTTCTTTCAAATCATGAAAAAACTTCCTCATCTCCTGGAGTTTGTTGTTGTCTCTTTTCTCTTGCATTTTATTTAGTTTTGTCACTATGAATATTCTGAATTGTTTATCTGACATTTCATGAGTTCCATGCTATTAACTGTGGATGATGAGAAATTGATGTTTTCACTTGGGGGAGAGATATTTTCTTGGTTTCTCATATTTATCAACCTTTTGCAATGGTTTCTATTCATCAGATGAGTTAAATATTTCTTTGTAAATTCTGCAAGTCAATTCTGAGTGGTCAAAGGTGAGTAGGAGGTGATCAGCAGTCTCTGTGCTGCTCTACTTCCTTGATGCTCACCCAGCAACCTACACTGTTGTCTTTGTAATTGGATTATTTCAAAGTTATCCCAGTTTCTAGAGAACAGGTGCACATGAAGCTGAACTGCTGACATTCAGTTGAGGACGAGAGAAGAGGTCACGTGGTATATGTTTCATGAAATGCTGAAGTCTGAGAATTCAGAGGCATATGGTAGGGGATGAGACATGGTCTCTCTGCAGCTAAGTGTCGAGGCTGCTCAGTACAGCCACAACTGTTGCTGGGGCAGATATCCTAATGGCATGGAGAGCAGGGAAATATGGGCTTCTCCAAGTTCCTGTTAACACACCTGAGAGTTCAAAGGCATTTAGGAGAGGGGATGATCCTCTCCACAGGACAACTTCTCAGGGACAAACCTTACTCACCATGAAGCAAGGCCATTGCTGGGTTAGATGTCCTGATGGCATAAGGAGCGGGAAAAGATGGGCTTTTTAAAACCCAATTTATACACTTGAAAGTTTAAAGAGATGTGGTAGGTAGGGGATGAGCCATACTCTGCAGCACAATCTCCCAGTGAGAAGCTGTTCACCATGCAGCAAGGCGGTCACTGGGGGAGATTACACTGTTTGTTTTAGTGACTATCTTCCATTGTATTGCCTTTGCTCTTTTTCAAAGATCAGCTGACTGATTTACATGGGCCTATTTATGGAAATTTTGTAACATTTATCTATTCTTTTGTCAATATCACACTGCTTTTTTTGAGAGTTTTTTGCTATAGGGCGTGTGCGCTTGCCAGGAAGACAGAGAGAGACAGAGAGACAGAAAGCGAGAAATCACACTCCCCACCCCCTCCAGTGGGGATGGCCATGCTGCAATCCCTTCTCCTCCATTCTCCTCTCAGGATCTTGGGCATGCACATTTAATGCGCCCAGTGTGAGTTCAAGCCGCCAGGTCCAGGACTTGAACTGCAGTCAGTTACATGTGAGTCCAGTGACATAGCCATTATGCTAACTGCTGTTCCCAATATCACACTACTTTGACTATTTTATTTTACTGGAAGTTTTAAAAGCAGGTAGCGTCAGTCTCTCAACTTTGTTTTTCAATAATGCATTGGGTATTCTGAGCCTTTGCCTCTCACTTACACTTTACAAAAGTTTGTCAATATTAACAAAATAAATTTCTGGGATTTTGATTGGAATTACATTGAATAGTAGATTAGGTTGGGAAGAATTGACATCTTGATGAAACCAAGTTTTCCCATCCATGAACATGGAATATCTTCTCATTTATTTAGTTCTCTTTGATATCGTACATCAGAGTTTTGTAGTTTTCCAAATATAGATCTTGTTTATATTTTATTAGAGTTATGTTTATATATTTCAGTCTTTTTGGTTGCCAATGTAAATTGTATTGTTTTTAACTTTGAACTTTATTGGTTCCTTTGTGCTATATAAAGGAGCAGGTGACCAAACTATTTTTTAATAAGATTCATTTCAGTTTAATTGGTGAATTAAAAAATTGCATATATTTAGGGTGCACAACATAGTATTGTGATATACATATACATTATTTAATGATTAAGTCAAGCTAATCAATGTATTCTTCTCCTCACTAGTTACCATTTTTTGTAGTAAAATAGTTTTGTTTTTAATATTTTTAAAGTATATATTAAATTATTATTAACTGTAATAATTATGCTATACAATAGATTTCCAGAGCCTGTTCTTTCTGTCTAATTAAAATTTTGTTCTTTGACCACATCTCCCCATTTCTCTTTTCCTTCTCCTCTCCCAGAATTTTGTACTATCTGATTCTTTAAATTAAAAATTTTCAATGCCTTTTTACAATATCCAAATGCTCTGGTTAGAATTATAGTACCATCTTTAACCATTGACTGTGAGTTAGCTTTTGGCTTGTAATATATAACCTTTATTATGGCGATGTACATTACATATATACCTAAGTTGTTAAGAGTTTTTGTTATGAATTGATGTTGAATTATTGAGTTGAATGTTGTCAAATTACTTTTCTACATCTGTTGAGATGATCATATGATTTTTATTCTCTAGTTTGTCAGTTTGGTTTATCACATTTGTTGATATACACATTGAACCATCCTTGCCCAATCGAAGGAAATTTTCCAATGAAAATGCACAATGGCCAAATAGAGAACAGAAAAAACCCCAACAATATTATTTCCACAGAGACTCACTTTATTCTTTAGTAAACACATTGACTAGAACTGAAGAAATGGAAAAGATATTCCATGCAAATGGTAATCAAAAGAAAACAGGGGTACTTATATCAGATGATAAGGACTTTGAATCCAAATCTATTATAAGAAACAAAGTTAATTGGTGATGATAAGAGAGGTAGTTTATCAAGAGGATATACAAATTACAATTATATATGCACCCAATTTTGGAAGCCTGAAATATATTAAACAAAGGTGGTATAATGGTTAAGGCACTGGACTTCCAAATGACTGACTGTGGTTCTAGTCCCAGACCCAGAGACTTGAAACTCATGCCAGTTGCATGTGTGTGCACGCCCAAAATCTCAAGAAGAGAATGGAGAAGGAATTGTAGCATAGTCATTACCCTGGAGGATGATTTCTCACTTTTCCTTTCTCTGTGTCTCTCTAATGGGCACACATGCCTCATGGCAAAAATCTAAAAACAAAACAAACAAAAAAACTAAATGGAGATGCAATAATAGGAAAATATTTAATACCTTTATTTTTTAAAATTTTTGCCAGAAGGTGCATCTGTTTTCTGGATATCTATCTATCGTTCAATCATCTATCTATCTATCTATCTATCTATCTATCTAGTATATGTATGTGTGTGTATATCTATCTATAGACAGATCTCTCTCTCTCTCTCTCTCTAAATATATATATATATATGTAATCTCTAGAGAGAGGGCGAGCAAGAGAGTGAGAGAGAGCGAGAGAAACCTTAGCCAGCCTTGATCATGAGTATGTAGTGACATGATTGGCAATTAGGGAAACCTAGCCTGTTAGGCTTGGTGTATTTTGTGTCCTAAGTCATTTATTTCAAGAGATCCTTTTTTTCTATTTTTTTTTTTTTGCCTTAGGATGTGTGTACTCACTTGAGAGAGAGATAGAGGAACAGAGACAGTGAGAGGGAAAGTGAGAAATTACACTCTAGGGGGATGGCCATGCTGCAATCCCTTGACCTTTGCTCTCCCTGGATCTTGGGCATGCACAAATACACACACACACACACACACACACACACACGCACGGCGTGATTTTGAAGCCACCAAGTAGGTCTGGGACTCGAAATGCAGTCAGCCACGTGGGAGGTGCTTTCTCACTTTCTCTCTTTCTCTTGCTATTTCTCATGGAAGAAATAAATAAACAGAGGGAGAGATAAATGGAAAGGTCTTAAATAAGCAACCTAATTTCACATCTCAAGGAACTAGAAAAAGAACAAATTAAGCCCAAAGTTAGCAGGGGAAGGAAATAGCAAATATAAGAGCAGAAATAAATACAGAGCAGAAATAAATGAAATATAGACTAGAAAAACAATAGAAAAGATCAGCAAAACTAGGACTTAGTTTTTGGAAAAGCTAAACAAGATTGACAAACCTTCAGATAAGCCTACAAAAATAAAAAGAAGAGCGATTTTAGTTTGTTTATTTGATATCTTTTTTTTTACTTGTTCATTAACTTTTAAATGCCAAGTAGTTTCTAATTGAGAGACTTCAGATGTAATTTAATCAAATATTGGTCTTTTATGAAAGAGAAACTATTAAAGCTTCCAGAAAACAAAGGGAACAAAATATAGTTAAGCTCACATATTTTGACTTCAAGATCATTATCTTTCCATGAGTCATACTGGTTAAAATATGAATTTTGTTTTTTCTTCTCTATTCACACAGATTGTTACCCAAGATTATTCTTTGACTCCAGAGTTTCCTCATGGCATATTTCACCTCTGAATTTCTAAGTGTGTAGATTAAAGGGTTTAACATGGGTGTTACCATAGTATAAAACACAGCCACTGCTTTATCAATGGGGAAGGTGATCATGGGACGAAGGTAAACAAATATACAGGGTACAAAGAATAGGATGACCACAGTAATATGGGAGATGCAGGTGGAGAGAGCCTTCCACTGTTCTTCAGTGCTGTGAGTCTTTAGGGAACAAAGGATGAGGATATAGGAGATGATAAGAATAGAAAAAATGAGCATACACATTAGTCCACTATTGGCAGCTACAAAGAGTCCAAAGATGTGTGTGTCTGTGCAGGAGAGTTTTAGCAGAGGAAATAAATCACAGATGAAATGGTCAATGACATTTGGGCCACAGAAGGGTAACCATATTATAAAAAGAATTTGAATTAGAGCATGAAGAAATCCCCCTGCCCAGGCTATGGCCATCAGGAGGCCACATACCCGCCTGTTCATTATAACTATGTAGTGTAGGGGCTTGCAGATGGCCACGTAGCGGTCATAGGCCATCACTGTGAGTAGTATGATCTCTACTCCTCCAAAGAAATGTTCTGCAAAGAGCTGAGTCATGCACCCACTGAAGGAGATAGTTTTCTTTTTAGAGAGTAAGTCTAATATCATTTTGGGGGCCATGGTAGAAGAGCAGCAGCCATCTATGAAGGACAAGAAAGATAGAAAAAAATACATGGGGGAGCTCAGGGTTGGGCTGGTTGTTATTGTCACCACAATGAGCAGGTTGCCTACCAGGGTGAGAAAGTAGATGACTGTAAACACAGCAAACAAGAGTTTCTGTACATCTGGGTTTTGCGTGAGTCCAAGCAAGATGAATTCTGTCACGTTCACTTGCTCTGCGAATCCACTTAACATCTGCATAATTGATTTATCTGTGAATAACAAGGGTTATAATTGTGGCAAATAAATGTTGACTGAGGAAATTTCTGTCAGGATGGTTTTCTAATAAAAGCACCAATACATAAATCTCTTCTTGCACAAACATACACACACACAGGCGCACACACACGGCACATTCAGTCATATACACAAGTGTGGTTTTATGATGTTGACAAGTGGAACATCTCTCTTATGATTCTATGTGATGGCTAATCTCCCAATCATTGCCATAGCATTTTTTTTTCCAGAAGAAAAGAAAAAGGAATAAAAAGAGAATTGGGTCTCTGGTGGAACAGATGGTGGGGCACTGCTGTGTGAAACTGAGGCTATGTGGGAGCCTGGCTTCAGATTCTGGGATGACCTGAACATGCCAGGCATGACTGCTGTGCCTGTAATCCTGGCTAAATGTGGGGGTTGGGGGATCATGCACGGTAGTATGGTTTTGAGGGCAGCTGTATCTCTGTCTCAATTTCTCTCTCTCTGTCTCTTCCTCAAAAATTAAAAAAGAGAGAGGAGAAAGAGAGAGATAGAAAAAGAACCAAAAGGAGAGTCAGAGGTTTAAATTCATGTCTCTTCTTGCTGATAGGTTCTGCAGAAAAGAGATTTTTGTTCTCATTATCATTATTTTTAACTCATTCCAGGGTAAATCTAAGATATCAGGTGAACTAAATAAAATTAGGGATGATGTCATTACATTTTAGAATCAACTGAACTGAATGGATGTTTGATGCTTCAATGAGATATACTTTGGCAGTTAAATTTGTAAGCTTAAGCTACATCTAAACAGAATTGCCAAAGAAAATAAACACCTATGGTTTAAGCATATTCCAAAGAGGGATTAAAACAGACAACATGGGACCAGCAGTTAGTGTAATGGCTATGTCGCTGGACTCCCATGTAGTTGACCACGGTTCGTGTCCTGGACCCAGTGGCTTAAAACTCACGCCAGGTGCATGTGCATGCATGTCCAAGATCCTAAGAGGAGAATGGAGGAGAAGGGATTGCGGCATGGCCATCCCCCCTGGGGGGTGATTTCTTGCTTTCTGTCTCTCTGTCTCTCTCTGTCTGGCGAGCGCATGTGCCCTATAGTAAACCCCC